TTTTCCGCTCTTCGAACAGCTTCGACGACCTCCATGACAGCATCAGTTGTAGATCTTCTAGACGGAAAACCATATTGTTTAGGAGATAATCCCCCAGCATCTCCTATTGCGCTAAGCAATCGTGGCTTCAGTAATTTCTCCAAGGCTTTCCCCGCTGCGTCAAGCATGCACAATGGTCGGTATGAGGACGGCTCTGTTGGATCTCCTGATCAAGACAAGGCGTGCAACTTTCCAATGCTTGCTAAAAACTCCTGTCGACAGGCAAGCATTATACATTGTCAGCAACAGATTAGGGTTTGATTGAAGTGCTATCTTAAGAACTTCCGCCTACATGCCGTCTGGGCCAGGAGCCTTTTTATTTTTTAAACTCCCGATGGCTTTTTGTAGTTCCTCTAATGAGAAAGCAGGAATATCCTCTACCAGCTCTATGGCGACATCAGAGCGCACAATGTGCGTGGGAAATAAAGCGTCTACAATATTTTTCATTGTGTTCGCGTCCATCACGTTCCTGATTTTAGTGCACCAAGCTTCTGTGTTACTAATTTGTAGCCCGAACCCCAAGGGTTTGAGTCTATATCCTGTATTAATGTTTTTCAGCATCCTTTTTTGCTCGTGTTAATTGCACTCCTGAGTTCCTTCTTTTTTGACTTGTATTCCTCGGATTTCCTGTTTGCTTCTTCCTGGTTTCTGGATCTCTGTAGGATTCGGCGTAGTCTTAAACATTCTTTCCGGATATTTGAAATTTCGGTGGTCCACCAGTAAACTGGTCTCTTATCGTGACGAGGGCGTTTTCGAGGCATCGCGGCCTCGCATGCTGATATTAGAAGGCGTATAATATCTTCGACCATTGCTTCTGTTTTTTCTTTATCACATGTTTTAGGCCTCTCTATTTTCTGAGCTCTCTTCGCCAAAGCATTTGAGAACTTGTCTTCGTTAATTTTCCCGACATTCCACTTTAGTGGCTTATCCAAAAAACTATTTTGTTGTGGCTGTCTGTCCTGGATTTCGAAAGTAATATACTGGTGATCACTTCCTGTACAATCTTCAATAACTTGCCAGTTTTCTATTTGAGTTGATAAGCGCTCCGAAGCAAATGTGACATCAGGGATTGTTCCCTGTTGCCCTGGTCGTCGAAAAGTTGGAGTGTTACCGATGTTTAAAACCAAAAGTCCCGTTCTCGCCACCATTTCCATTATATATTTTTCTAGTGTTTTGTTTGTTGTCATGTTCTGTATTGCATCTTCGAGATGATCGAGTTTTTGGCGAAAGTCCAGGATAGGTTCATTGGGCGTAAAATAACAGCTAAAATAGGTAGTGTTAGCGCTTCTAATCCACACAAAACCACGTCCACTGCCATGTTCTCTTATTTGTAGTTTATTTTATTCCAAAATCCAGATTGCAGCTGTGCCAAGATCATCAGCGTGACAGGTCAATAAAATAAAATCTCTGTCAATATAAAATCTCTGTCAATATATTGTTCACTACTGAGAAGCAGGTCGACGTCTTTTTCATACGCAAGCTGGTAGATGAGGTCGTTTGCCGTTTTGCTCCGATGGAGGTTAGCTTGAAGTATCCGGATCATTTTGCCAACGATTTGGCTTGCTCCAGTACTTCTCTAAAAACTTTGCAACGGCCAGATCCGGGTAAATGACACAGCTCTCTTTGTTCCATGCCTGCTTCTTTGCATAGGACGCAATGCTCGGTTCCAGAACAGTCCTTGGCGTGGTGTCCTTCTGTGCCGCATCTGTAACAAGACTTTGATCTGTCTTGTCCTGTGCAGGTTCTAGCTATGTGACCATAGCCAAGGCATCTGTAGCAGCGTTGGACGGTTGCTCTCAGTCGCACTGCTATAAATCCACCCTATCTTGATTCTTCCTTGTCTAAGAAGTTTATCTGCTGCTATCTCTGCTACTTCGACAATAGCGATTCTTTACCCTCTGCCGTTTACAGTTGTGAGGTTTATTTTTGCATCTTCAACATCTCCCAGATCTCGATTTAAGGCTTCTTCAACATCGATTTTCTCTGTGAGGCAATCTAAATCCTTGATTTCAAGAGTCGTCTTAGGGGCAAGTCTCTTTACTGTACCAGTGTCGCCCAGGGCTGTGATTAGGGCGTTTGTGTTTTTCCGGATATTTGGTTTTATTTCCCAGCTCAAGTAAAACATTTCCCTGCTTTGTTTGTCGAACAGACTTAATTTCGGCTTCTAAGTCTTCAGGGACTACTTTTGATTTGATGTCTTTCAATATTTGAGCATAGGTTCGGTTTTCTGTCGGCTTAATTGTGATGGCCGTCCTTCGTGTCCGAGTAACATATTTATTTTTTTTTTGTCCATGGGTGCTCTGCTGTGATGTAGGTGGGTTGGTTTGGCCTATATTTTCGCGTTTCTTAGCTTTCTTTTCCTCTTTTTTATTTTGAACCGTATGCCAAACTTCGTCAGGTCTTCTTTCTCTTCCTTCCGCTTCGTTTCGATTTTCCGTCAGCATCGGTCTGACTTCAGCGTTTGTCATTTGGAGGGTGTTGCTTTGGTCAGAAGATATTTGTGTTTTTAGGTTCATCTGCTCAGTTTCAAGGATCTTTAAAGATTCTCGGAGACTGAAGATAATATTTAATGACTGCTCTAGGTAACCAACGCCCTTTTTCACATCTTGAGAGATATTTTTCTGTCGTTCCACTGCTGCCTTCATTACCGTGATAACTTTCTTGCATTTAAGCAGCTCCTCATTTTCTTGCTTCCTTACTTTTTCATGTTCAGATAGATGAGATGTCTGATCGGTCGTACTTGTTTCTGGATCTGTCCATAACGCATTAAATCCTAGAGGAGTTATTGGTGTAGTTGGCGTAGAAGGAGGTGACCTAACTATCTTTAAACTCCTATTAAACGGATTTATTGCTTCATTTCCCTTTCCCCTTTAGTCTTTTATTACCATCCATATTACTTTTTGGGTATTTGCCCCTATTCAGGCACAGGGTCACGTTCTCGAACCACAGCCGAGGCAACAGCCAGCATTACGCCTCCCGCTTCCCTGTGCTCCATAGGAGACTCTACCTATTCAGCCGTCCTTTCCCCCCTTTGAGTTGTCCACTAGACCGCAGCAGACAGTCGCCGGAAGTTCCGTAGACCTTCAAAGGTAGCCTCACCTACACGATCTCCTGGTTGGAAAACCAACTCAGGTGTTTCCCCTAGATTAGGGAGTGCTAAGCCCTAAACCGCAGTTCGCTTGGATCTGAGCGGTAGCGAACGTGTTGCTTCTTGAATCCCGTAGGAGACCCTCGGCTCAATCACCAGCTGCAGACTTCACCAAGCCACTGTCTCACCCACACGGAGAGAAACATGGGCGCCTCTTCTAGTCGCCTTTTACGACAGGCAGAGGTACCCCGGGAGTATTCTTCTTAAGCTGGGGTTTCCTAGGAGTGTCGGCCGGCCGACACCGACCGCGACGGACGTCCGCTGGATTTTAGACTGCATTTTTAAATGGAAGCGGTTTCTTAGAGTCGGTTATATTCGGCGGCTGATTTTCGCGCGTATTTTGTCGGGAGCGCCAAGAATTTCCTAATTCTACTTTTTCCTAATATTACGATTGCGCCCGAACGTCTTCGGAAAGTAAAAAACACTGTTGCCAGTATTCTCATATTTTCGTAAGTATATCAGACAGAGTGAATTATTGTTCGTTACTGAACGGAATGAATTATTGTGAATTGAAAATGGAAGGATTATTTAAAAAGGAAGCCAGAAGGTAGGAAATTTCATTTGTGCTTATCTTTTGTAGTTATGTATTAAAAAAAACAAAATATTCAGTATCCATAATGTTTCGGTTTACTTATAACTTGATTAGCATGTATTTAAGTCCAAGGTAATTAATTAATTTGTAATAAAATACTTTCAGATCCTCTCAAAGTGGAGGACAAGTACTGGCAGCTGGATAATCCAACTCCGATTGGATCCACAATTATATGAAGATATAGATGTGAAAATAATAATAGTGGAATATATTAGCGGTAAGTAAAAATAAGTACCTCGGTCTCTGTCTCGGTGTTATAGTTTTGACAGTAGTTGGCTCCCAAATAATTTAAAATGAATTATAATTTTAATTCGTAATGAATAATGTGTAACGTAAATTTTTATCTATATATTTTTACAGATTATTGCCAAGAAGGTGATTTCTAGTAGTTCGAGCAGCAACGGTGGCAAAATGGTGTCTAGTTAGTTACCATAGTTACAATAGAACAAAAAGGTATGTACTTGGTATGTACCTTTTTTAAAATGGAAAAGACACATTTCTTTCCTAGACTTAATAATTAAAATAAGATTATTAACATTTTAAATTATATTCACTTTGGGTAGATATTGTTTTAAATAATAATATGTAATGTATTTTACCCAATCTTTAATTTGACGGTGTTGTAAATTCATTACTCATACATTTTTTTGTTTATAGGTAGGTGTAGGTATACCTACGCTCACCTTCAGTAGCACTTTTTCACCAGCCACCCGCAGTTCGCAGTCACTAGAATACCAGAGGGACTACAGTTTGATTTATTTTATTTTATCATACATTTATATTTTGTAATAAACCATATCATATAATACCAACTTCCATGCTTTATTTTGACCGACTTAAAGTTCATGAATAAATTCGAAATATTTTGAAAAAATTTCCTTATTAAGGTCTTAAAATTGAATTGCAATATCATTTAAGGGGTGGTAAAAAGGTTGAGTTGGGGGAAAATGTTTTTTTCTAGTACCTTAAACTTCTTCAGTAAACTCAAAATAGCCTAAAAACGTTCCTTAGAGTCTCTAAATTAAAATACAAAATTATTTAATTGGGATGTTCTGGGTAATTTTATAAATAAAATACTCTTTGACTCCAGAACATTTATTTTTTTTTAGTTAACCCAGAGAATAGTTAACCTCTAAATTGACTCTAGGGATTATTGCCATTATTAGAATTCTCTGCTCTTATTTATTTAATTATACCATAGGCAACCAATAATACACACTCTCATGACATCATATATCTTTAATTTTGAAAGCTCTAAACATATATAACTATTTAGATTTTGCTGTGTATATGACGGACCATGATTCTGAAAAGAATTAATTATGTTAGAAAGTCACTGCAAAAACATATTATGGTTTTTAAAATATATTTACCTTTGTATGTTTCCTGCTTCTCCTTCGTGATGCTTGTGCTATAACGTTCTAATGTTCTAAAACAAACATTAACTGTCAAAATTACAATTTTGATTTAATTTCCAATAAAATTAGTTTGTTTTTCTGCTTCTTCTGTCTCTTTTTCCTTCACCCTTCCTCACAGGATTTATCAGTTATATAAAAATGTTTAATTTAATTTCCAGTTAATCGCATACCACCATAGACTTAAAATAAAATATAGACTGAGCATCTCATTCATAAATAGCTGGAACATGCGGTCAGACACTGTCTTGTTATTGTTGTGTTATTGTTTTAGGTTATAACGAGTGCGACACGAGCGATAGATAGGTTGTCTCTGTCGTAACGGTCGTTGCCTGACGACTCTGCCGAGAAACACAACACTGTCTTTCGTTTCTCAAGTACACCTGAACTCTCCGTATCATAGCCGGGTAATTTTTTATTTTAATGAAGCTATAATTAAATTAAAAATATATCGTATTTAAACTTTTTTATATTTTATTAAGATTTAGGACAGGTTTTTTAAATAAAAGTTTAGAAAAAACAATTTAGAGTCCAAAAAGGATAAAAATAATAAAATACACGTTATAGCAGAAATTTTATAATCGAAATTAGGTAATTTTTGAAATTAGTAATAAATTATTAATTTTAGTCAAACATTTACAACCCCTAATATTAATCAAAACAGGATCTATTCCACAGATATAATAGAATCGGCGACAGGGAGAGAAAAAAAATATGATTGTTGTAAATTTTTTTCTGGTTAAGTGATGTCTTATTATGTAAATTAGAGAAAACATAAATCTGTTCCATTAAGGAAGCAAGGAAGGTGATAGGAAGTGGATAAAATAAAAACTACATTTATTTAACTCGGTACTGTCTTTATTATACCGGGTGCGTCTCAAAACTGGCTCATCCCCATAATTTTTTTATATTTTCCAATAAAAAAACAAGATTTAGTATGTTAGTATATGAAATAAATTAGGATTGATTGACGCATTCAATTGTTTTTGGTTACTTCCTGTTTCACCGGAAATGACTATAACTTTTAATTTTTAAACGGCACCCTCGGTATATTTCTACTTTATTCGATAGAAAATGACACTCTGAATAGAATGACATACCATATGTCAACATTTGACATTTTTGCATATGGTTTAATTGTAATTGTAACACGCGGTTCATAACGACAATTTGACTCGAAATACCAAGTGTGTGGTATCAATATATTCATAAAAAAATGCTTTTTCCAAATATGCTAATGAGTCACCCTTGTTCCATTTGAAAAAATTGACATATGTATGATTAAAAATACGATTTGTACATCTTTTAACCGGCCTAGACAAGACACGAAACCCATTAGACGATCAAAACTATTTTTCCAAGGCTCCTTGATGACATATGTATGATTAAAAATACGATTTGTACATCTTTTAACCGGCCTAGACAAGACACAGGAAACCCATTAGACGATCAAAACTATTTTTCCAAGGCTCCTTGATTAAAACTTAGTGGATTGAAAAAACTGGATTGAAATTTAAAATAGGATATGTTTTTAAGCGACAATGTCAAAAGTTGACATATGATATGTCATTCTATTCAGAGTGTCATTTTTATCGAATAAAGTAGCAATATACCGAGGGTGCCTTTAAAAATCAAAAGATGTAATCATTTCGGTGAAACAGGAAGAGACCAAAAACAATTGAATACGTCCAATAAATCCTAATTTATGTCATATACCTACTAACATACAAATCTGTTTTTTATCTGAAAAATAAAAAGTTAAGGGGTGAGCCACTTTTGAGACGACCCGGTATATTAAAAAATATTGTTTCATAATGTAATATCATTTTAAAATTCTTGTATGTTATTTTAGATTCTGAAGATAATTTTAGAATAAACCGGAATATATTTTTAATAAAAACATTATTAATTATTAACAGGGTTATAATTATGATTTTGTTACAATGTAAGTAAGTAAATAATGTAATGTAAGAGAAAAAATTCAGATTTTACATTTTACTAAAATATTATCTAAATAAGCGCCTTTCTACAACAACGCCACTGACTCCCAATGGGTAAATTGAGAGTTGCCTACCGGTCAAAAGTCGTTTCAAGACTTAAATGGATTATTTAAGTCAAATTTCTTGCAAATTTGGCACTGGCGAACCATATTTTATAGTTCTTGAACAGAAAAAGTCAATAAAATAAACACTTAAGCACTACAAGCTAAGAAAATGCGTTAATACAGCCGGGGAGATAGCGGCAACAAAGCTTTACCGCACACGTGCGACACGTACTACAAGGTAATAAATGAATGAATAGGCTCCCTCGCCTCTAATCGGTGTTGTCATATTGTAAAGAACTTATCCTTTTTAAACAGTATCCGACTTATAATTTAGTAGTATAAGGACTATTTAATACATCTCTGGAATATTAAAACCTACTTTATTAAACTGTAGTATTAATATCTCAATATATGTGTATAACAAGAAAAAAAATATTGATAATATTAAAGATGTGACAACATAGGCTGGATGAGGAAGGCTCGGTCGACTGTACCCAGAAGTAAACATGTGTACAAAAAAGGTTGTTTGTCCGCGTTGAGATGTAAATAGTGTAGTCTATATTTTATTTTAAGTCTATGCATACCACACTGTTTCCGATTAAAAATATTATCAATACTCAATGCGTCTGCATAATTATAACATTTTATTTTTATATCACTTTCTAACTTAACGTATGGAGCACCTGGCCAGCCTCTAACTTTTCGAGTCTCAACTCTCGATAGCGACTGCGAGGAGCGACGTTGACAAATTTAACACGTTTTTTTCCTTCATTTCATGTAGAATGTACATCTCAAGGATTTCGATCCATGCCGATGACGGCCGAACCGAGTAGGTCGGGCGAGAATTAGAAATCTCGCGCAGTAGGAAAAATTCCCATTAGGAATTTTTACGCCATCCCATTTTGTCAGTTTCGGTTGTCGGCTGTATTCGGTCGAGGGTTGATTTCAACCGAGAGCCGAGCGATATTTACAATGAACGGTCATACGTTTTCGTTTATTGACAAGAAAATTTATATTATATTGATGAACAATATTGACTCTGAAATACTTATTAAATTTGTTGTCATTCTAGGATAGTTTTGGCTCAATCAGCAATATAAACGTACCTTTTTTTCCTTCATTTTAAATAAATTTTATTTATTTATTTTTCTTTCATTGTCCTGAAATAGACGAAGGAAGCGATTTTCTTCTTCTGCTTCTTCTTGAGGCAGAAGGTGTATACAAATTCGCCTTCTAAGGTGTCTTTCAGGACCAAAGAACTGCGAAAAACTGTGACGGAAATCATGTTTCAATAAAATTTAGGCCTCCACCTCCGCGGCAGAATTTCGCGGCGAACTTTCGGTTTTCGCTCCGCTTTCGGTTCCGTCGTTCGTCACCGACAGTCCTAGGAAACCCTACCTTTAGCGAACCCGCCCCCGGACGGGGCTATGTTACACAATGTTAAATGTGTCATAATGACATTGTCGTAGATTAATGAGATTTATTATATCATTATGATATCATTTACATTTCTGATATATGTGATTATAAGGGTGATTGTAAAAATTAACGTGGAATATTTAAAAGAAAATAAAAATTAAAGTTTTTTTCTTATTTAACGTAACGTTTGTGACGAGTCTTGAAATATTAGTAAATGAAGCTTTCAAAAAATGAAAGAAATCGGTTAAGAATTTCTGTGATTAATCTACCCTCAAACTGAACATTTTTTTCTTCAATTGATATTTATTTGAAATGAACGAGCATCCGGTCGAAAGACGTCTAAAACTAAGAAGATTAATTTCTACAGATGGGGGCGCAAATGATGATTAGTCGTCAATAAAGCGACTTATGGTATTTGAAATATTTTTATGAAATTGCTGTAACGTTCAGGGGCTGGGAAGGTTAAAATTGCAATAAATATTCGTACTTCCTGAAATAAGTACGTCGTTATGTTAATAAAAAGGCTATTTTATACAGAAAAAAAATAACTCCAATATCTTATAAATTTTTTGTTTGTTACATTATTAATTATTTAGAAAACAAGTATTTCTGCAAAACCTAATATACTTGTTTGGTAGTTAATCTTCAAATAAACCAAAAAAAATTAAGTTATTTGCAAATAATGTAAGTAAAATAGTAATAGTGTTATAATATAAAAATGCATATTCCATATTTTAATAATGTAATTATGCCATATGTATAGGTGCTACAAATTCGAGGTACGAGCATGGGTATCTCGGTAACCGTAATGGATACGAACATCGTTAAATTAGGGCAAAGTTGCGCTTTGGGATGTTTGTCAAGATGCCATCAAAAAAGTTTTGAAAATTTCAAGAATTGCTGAGTTTTTTGGAAAAAAATGATTTTTTTTGAAAATCAATTTTATTTTTTCCTGTCGATACTTTTTAGAAAATCAAAAAACTAATTGCACATTCTATATCTCATAGCTACTTTATTAGGGCTATCTGATAGTGTTTTTAGATTTTCAAATTAGCTGATAATTTGTGAGATATAGAGGCCAACTTAGTTTTTTTTAAATACGGACCTGCATTAGGCATTTTATTAGGCGGTCCCAGTAACTAATGAGAATGAGTTAATTATTTGGCGTAGTCTGTCAGACGACGCCGGCGCCGGACCAGTTAAGGGTTAAACTAAAATTATTGTAATAGTTCTGCTAACTGCAATATGTTGAATTATATATTACTGTTTTTTTCCTTGTAAAATAGTCTAATACAGTATCATCAACTATTTCAATCATTGTTGTGATCGCTCCATATAAACGGTATGTTTAATAATAAACGAATGGTATTAATAGTCAATAGTCTACAAGAAACATACAGCTTAAATATCTTACTTTATTTCATTTCTTATACAAGTATTTTAACGAAATTCGAAAAATAAAGATTTATTTTCTACCTTAAACTTTGTATACCGAAATAATTTATAAAACAAAGCTAAAATAAAACAGAATATTAACATAACTTTGTTTGTTTTCAGACCGAACTAAATATAATAACATTGTGTTGGAATCACGTAGTATTTATTTTTTTAATTACATTTTGTTACAGTCGTTTACACATGGGCAAATTAAGTGCGAATTACTCACCGCATCCTCTAAAAAATTCCTTCTGGATTAATATTTACCCGAAAAGCCATATGGTGAACGGTGATGTCATGTGTTGAGCTGTTTTATCTCCGCTAACACGTAAAATACGCTTTTGCATTTTTATTGTCTAGACTGCGAAAGCTTGATTTATTCTGATCAGAAACTTCATTTGAATTGAACTTTTTTAATTTAAATATAGGAATTTGTTATAGGAACAATAAAAAATTATTAAATTATATATTATTTATATCATTAATTTTTAATGAGGTATCTACGAGATAGATGAAAACTGACTTTTGTTCTACATCAGTCAAGAAGTTTGCAATAAATATTGATATTTGAATCAATATAGAATGTCTATTTAGGTGTATTCCGTTGCTTACCTTGTTTATGGTTTTATGTTCCGTATCTATAGGTTTCCTGAAAGTTTTCTTATTACGGAACACAGTTCCTGAAAAATTCGGTTATGACTGTCACATGACTGTCACCAAACTAACCAACGCGAGAAGGCTGGTTTTTCTGGTTTTGTTTGTCAATCAATATAATTTATGTGAGAGAAGTCAAGCAGATATTGGAGTGAAATTCTCATTTAATTTCTAAAACTTCCAAAAGCAATGGAGGTAGGCAGTCAAGGTAAATAAATTTCATTAACTAAATAGAATGACTTTTTCGGCCCATTTAAACTTATCATGCAGCCATTGTTTCTTAAAGTCAGGAACATTTAAAGAAAACATGAAAAACAAGATAACAAGTCATCGTGAATGTTTTGTAAGCTATAAAAATATAAATATTGATTAGATTTGTTTATTTTTTATTGACCTGTTTTAATATTGGACCTGCAAATCTTCACTTGAGCTGTCTAACGAGTTTAACAGTTTATTAATAAAGTTAAAGTACTTTTCAATATTAAATTCTATTGAAAAGAAGAAGCAAAAGTAAAAGCAGAGAATAGGTACATTAAAACTGCATAAAAGATAAATTTTATAATAAAGGTATTGAAATTTAGAAAACGTCAACATTTGACATTTTCAGTATTTTACCAAACCGTTCCGTATCAAACCGATGTTTTTCAGGAACCGCTCTTTACGCTAGTTTACCAGTCTGGTTCGCCTGGTTTTGCAACGGAATACAGCCTAATGTTTTGACATATATGTTATGTGATAGCTGTCACGGCGTATGTACGGAGTGCTGTTAATTGACTAGATATCGGAAATAAAATTGAACGGAAGGTATAAAAGTTAAATTTATATCAAATGTTCTTGCGCCTTCAGCAACATTAAGGAGTGTTTCAAGGCGCGGTTGACACTGTGCAAGTGTACCTGGATGACAACTTGGACTAAGTAACTAGTACAAGTACCCTTGGCCCACGTTGTCTTCTATTTGGATGTTTCTATAAAGGCTTTTGGAAATTCCGGACTAATGAACTCAGAGATCCGGCCAAATGAACTCTGAAATCCGGACAAAATTCGGACGTCGCATAAAAGAAACTATAAATTTATTTATGAACTTTTATAGGACGCAAATAATAGCCCCGGAATCAACAAAATATAAACTGAAATGAATGTTTTGATTCATTTTCCAGGAGTGCACCAAAAGCGAAAAATTTGAGCGCCAAAATATAGAAATGGGTACTTTCGAACATGCGTCGGTTAAGTAGAACTGTAACATCCTAGAGACTAAAATATTCAACAAAGTAACTGAAAAATTAATTCAACTGTAATATATGGATATCTCTTTCTCAGAACTTACGACCGAGAAAAATAGAAGATTTTCATTGATTTAAGTAAGCACAATCTTCGGATTGTCACGGGATTTTTAACATCATCAGGACAATACCACAATAGGGTTTCCACAAAGGCTTTTGGAAATTCCAGAGAAGTGAATTCAGAAATCCGGACAAATGAACTCTAAAATCTGGACAAAATCCAGACGTTGCAAAAAAGAAACTAAATTTATTTATGAACTTAACGTAAAATCGCTTATTTCCGGGGATTACTCAACCGGGTCTCACAATGCAAATTCACCTCAAATATCCATTTAGTTGGTCATTGGCAAGCAGGCTCTCATTGTACATGAAAATAACAAAACAAACATTTACTGATCTGGATAAAATTGATAGTTGAATAGTAAAACTCACCCGGGGATACTCCGCCCCCTAGCCACTGGTATTCTATTCAATATATCCCATTCCATATCTTCCATCTAATTCAAATCTTATTCGGATCTATTGGTTAATCTTCAACAATTAGCTGGTGTCACCTGAAATAAGTATAGGGACTTTCCCCCGGACGCAAATCTGCCGCTAAACCGATTCGCATCCCTAACAGTCAAAAGACTAAACCTAACCTAACCTAAACTTAGTCAAAAGACTCGCATCCTTAATAGTCGTAAAGACTCGCATCCTTGATAGTCATAAAGACTCGCATCCTTAATAGTCGTAAAGACTCGCATCCTTGATAGTCAAAAAGACTCGCATCCTTAATAGTCAATAAGACTCGCATCCTAATGGTCAATAAGACTCTCATCCTAATAGTCATAAAAACCTAACCTAACCAAATCAACCTTAGTCCAAAGACTCGTACCCTTAATAGTCAAAAGGACTCGCAACCTTAGTCATAAGACTCGCAACCTCCAAATGGCAGCTCTGTGACAAAACACAACACAACAAGTACAACACTACTTAGTAGTAGACGGGCCGGCCGGCCCGTCTACTACTGACACGCCGGCAAGCTAAACCTGTCTTCTAACATCACAATTTTACCTAATCGCAAATATTTACATCGCTTATCAATGAATAATAGGTACTATTTTCTCTAATCGACTTTCAAATTAATAGAATGTTCTAGCATTACTAGATAAATAAATAGAGAGTTTCCGAATTATAAAACCATTATTATAACCAACTTATTTTTTAAGTTTTACAAACTTTTATAGGACGCAAATAATAGCCCCGGAATCAACAAAATATATACCAAAAAACATTTCCTTTCCAGGAGTGCACCAAAACGGAAAAATTTGAGCTCCAACAATTACTGATAAAATCTATGGTGCCATTTAAAAAACTGTTCTGGAAATCCCAAATTAGAAATTGCTCCTTGGTAAGAAGTAATGTGGATGAGAAATTACTTATTGGTAAGGAGTAATTTCTAACTCCCATTCACTTGGAAGCCAAGTATATATTATTCCACCTTGAGATAAAAATAAAAAATAAATATAAATTTGAAATCTGCGAATAAAATATTTTGCGCTATAGTTATTCGTATCTAGTCACGAAATGCACTGGGACCCCAATGTTTTAGAAAATCGATACCATCCCCAATCACACCCTCGGAATTTTCATTTATATCACTATACGACCACATTATATTTAAATACGAATTTCATAACAGTTCTTTTGGATGACTAGACATTTTCCCTTCTTGCATTTTAACATAAAATATTCTCTTAAATGTCCTCCATTCCTCACAATTACATAAATTCTAATTTATAGTTACTATCAGAATAATCGCAGTATTGGGTCTTATAAATTATCCACAAGCTAATTTCTAAAGATAGAATACCTATCCTTATATTCTCTAACAATTTTACAAAAATACTTTAAAACTTAACTAAAAAAACAAACAATATTCTTTTTTTTTTTTTAAATAAATAATGCGCGTTGATGACCTTATTTTTAAATATCATTTTTGTTGCAGGCTCGATATGCGGCGAAGGAAGTTGTTGTAGCACGAGGTTAGAAGATAGTTTAGAAAAAATTAGCCGGCAGTATATGGACAAGTATATCAAAGACGCAGTTTTGAAAGTATCTTCATTGATAGAGACGAGAGCGAAAAAGTTTGATGGTAAGTAGTTCATAAAGCACCATAATGTGGGATTATTTTGATATGAGATAAAACTCACCATGTAGCCCTGACTTTCTATATAGGCTCCCAAATATTTGAATTAATTATTATAATTATTATACCTGTTCCATTATTTGATCATTTATCTCAGTATTGATCATTGCATCACTCTTTCCTTTAATCGTTGTCTTCGTTTTGTCCTTATTTTCTCAATTTTTGAAGATTTTTGGCAGATCATTTGTTGTTCCATGTATTGAGTTTATTTTTATTTTAAGTTCTAGTTCGTTCCTTACAAATATAAGGATGTCGTCAGCAAAACCACATTCTTTGATCCACAGGTTGTTGCATATTTCGGTACTCTACAAGAAGGCTGGATCTCTTGCCTGGTTTCTTTCATTACATGATCCATAACTAAATTGATTTGGACTTAGTCTTGGAGCGCTGCACAAAACTATTTTTGAAGATTCACAATAACCTCACGGTAATTTAAACCCTGACACAAGATTTATATATTTTCCATAAAACTGAATATTAAAAATAAACAAGAAATATATATAGAGATACGCTAAAAAACTTTAAAAATTCAAATTTATCAAAAGAGAAAAATCAAACAAAAATGGCAAAAACGGTGTTTCAAAATGGCCACCGTGACGTAGTTACCGGCTGCAATATAATAATAGAAAATAGTATATGAGTCCTTTTTTAGTCAATGATCCTGAAACTTTCAGGTAGAAATCTACGTTATCGAAAGATGCTTACAACTGATCTTAGATAGGAACTATCGCAAACAAGAAATAGTCATCTTATCCGATAGTCAAGCAGCATTAAAAACGACCAACTTAGTTACCATCAATTCGAAGTCGGTCAAAGAATGCCTAGAAAAGCTGAACAAATTAGGCAAATACCAGCCATAAACGGAAAGCAATGAAAAAGCAAACGATCTAGCTAGAAAAGTAGCGAACACTCCTCTAACTGGACCATAACTGTTCTGCTTCTCAAGTAGAAACCAACTTAAAGCGGAACTCATGAATCTGGAAGACTCCACCCGTAACCTGGAATGGGAATCCTCCAACGGTTCTCAGAACTTACGACCGAGAAAAAGGATTTTCCTTGATTTAAGCAAGATTACAGTTGAGGGTTGGAATCTTTGGTGTTACACAGCAAAATAAAATTACACTAAATCACCACAATACACCAAAACACTTTTACTTTTACACTGGACGCGCGTTTCAGCAGATGATTATAAACTATCAGTTTACTATATATTATAGTTTACTATGATTATAAACTATCAGTTTATAATCATCTGCTGATGATGCTAACATGGTTAGCGAAACGCGCGTCCAGTGTAAAAGTAAAAGTGTTTTGGTGTATTGTGGTGATTAAGCAAGAACAATCTTCGGATTGTCACGGGGTTTTTAACAGGACACTGTGTCCTCAACGAACACCTCAGTAGATTGAAGCTAAGAAACAACGGCGAATGCAGATCTTGTGGGGAAAATGGGGAAACACCAGAACACCTCATCACTGAGTGCGCCGAAACGACAACCATTCGTGCCATAAACTTTGGTGCGGCGGATGTCGCAGATGGAGAACTAACCTCTGTAAAACCGTCTCAGATACTGGCTTTTGTCAAAGCCCTGAGACTGTATGATGAGTTATAACTCAAGAAAGAGGAACACAATAGATCTGGAATGCCGCGGAGATTAACCCCCTCCCATGCATTCTACATTCTAGTCAATGATAATTATTACATCAAAGATTGAAGATATACAAAATAATAGTAAAATGTGTCCACGTCAAGAAACATTTCGATCGACGACGTACAAAAAATTACAGAAAATAAACTATACCCAGTGAATTCTGTATAAATAAAGTACTTTGAATACCATACTCAAATAAGTGGTAACGACGAAATAATACCATACCTATATAGTGCGACTAAAATGAGTTAATACCACCGCGAACCGTGGACGCGACGCTTCCAGGCCCATTCAGTGTACATATTTACTTATCACCCGACCGTTTTAGTTCATTAATATTTAGAAGCTCTACCTGGTATTTACATAGCATATCTGTATAAATGTATATGTATATACGAGGATTTGTCCCACGCACACCGAGCTCGACGACTATCAATTTTGTCATTGCCTCGCCGATATTGACAGCTGCCGCTTACAAAAAAGATAAATTACATTTTAATACAAAATCCACCCGTATTTGCTTAACTAAAACGATGGCATTGTTGCCAATTCGACAGCTTGGAGAAATACAAAAGCATTAAGTATATAGGATTGAAAAAAACGGCGTCAAAGACTGTTGGACATGGCAATCGATGATAATTTTGACGAGGTCAAGCACTAGACGTCATTTTTCAAGAGTACAAGGTGTCCCATTTTAGTTGAAATCATACGATATATCCGTTATTAGTAAAGATAGGAGGATGCACAAACCTGTCCCGCTTTTTTGTCAAACGGAAGATGCTGTAAACAAAATTTTTATAGCCCTCTTCGTTTCTGAGCTACAGGGTCTTTTCGAAAATCTTGGGACTGTCCTCGTATCTCCGTTATTGTGGATGATATCGAGAAGGTGAAAACTGATTCTTGTAGAACTTTTTACGTAGAATACAGTGGCGTAATCTGTTTTTCTACGAAAAAAATATTTTTGAAAATATGAACTAAAGTTATATTTTTTCAAATGGAACACCCTGTATATTTATAAATCATATTATCCGTCTTGCTATGAGCTTCTCAAAAATATATATCACTCTGTATTTGTTTTCACTATTTACTGCAATATTTAAAATATATCATTTTCTTATTAGTAGGTCATGATAAATAACGACAAAAATCAAAATGGTATTTACTAAAATAGTCACATATTAAAATTTTATTTCGGATCGATATATTTTACTTTTGAACTGTTTTTGTTTTTTTATAACAAAATTTATTATAAGGGAATGGGTTTGTAAATATCTAAAAGCTTGCATTATTAAAGCATTTTCCAGGTGTTCGAACATTGTTATAGTTGCCACGATATATTTCATATTCCAAAAATCCCAAAAATCAGAAATCGAAATTGGACAAATTCGGGAATCAGGGAGGCAAACATATAGGTCCATTGGTTCAAATTCACTGATTTGAGAAATAATAATTTAACAAAATTCTAATATTTTCAAAGTTGTGAGGGGTAGCCTCATCTTGCTGAAAGTAATATTTCACGTATATTAGCTAAAGGAATATCTAAAAGTTCCGGGACGATAGCTTCCAAGATTTACAAATAGCGATAAAGAGTTAAGTTTCCCTGATATGTATTTAAAGAAATTATTAGTGGCTCCAAAAATAAAAGAAGAGACAGATAGCAGTATACTTTTAATAATTCTTTAGTTTCTTTTATTATCAATCATGGCCTACTAATAAATATGATCTTTTAATAAAAACTTATATATTGCAGTAAATATTGGCAGTAAATAGTGAAAATAAATATAGAGTGATATATATATTTCTGAAAAGCTTATGGTAAGCCAGATCATTTAATTTATAAATATATAGGGTACTCCATTTAAGAAAACATAACTTTAGTTCATATCTTTAAAAATATTCTTTTCGTAGAATAACAGACTACGCCACTGTACTCTGCGTTAAAAGTTCTACAATAAACAGTTTTCACTATCTCAATACCTTTAACAATAACAGAGATACAGGGGGTGTCTCAAATTGCAAAATTTCCAAAAAGACCCTGTAGCTTAGAAATGAAGAGGGCTATGAAAATTTTGTTTACGGTATCTTCCGTTTAACAAAAAAGTGGCACAGGTTTGTGCAAACCGCACCCTTCTCTCTTCACTAATAACGGAGATAACGTATCGTTTCAACCAAAATAGGACACCCTGTACACTGAAAAAAATGATTTGTGAATTTAATAACAATATTGATGGTTATTTCTTGCCACAGATTATTGTAAATTTACCATCCGTTCTTTAGTTTTACAACTCTAAACTTTGTTATAATATATTTATGTATCTTTATTATGTTGTTAATTTTTAAAATCACACATTTAAAATCACTCATTGTGAGAATAATATAGTTTAATAATAATCATTTAATATTAATAAACTGTTTTGCAAAATTACATTTTTTTGTGAAAATATGCAAAAATCTCTTATTTATACAAGTTCCTTATTAAAAAAATTCACAGATTGCAACATGCGCAACCATCATAGGCGTATTGAAAATACCAGTCACAAGTCGGCGATTGTCGGCAATCACCTGTTTTTTTACATTTTATATTAACTTGTGACGTCATTTGGAAGAGCTCAATAGAAATATAAAAGTAAACCTTGTTTGGAAAGCACTTTGATATTCGAGACGTCAGCACTCCGGCAGTCTAACGTAAACGTATCCGCTAATCGCCATTCACAAATATATTCCAGATACGTATAATGAACAATTAAACCGTTCGCAATGCAATTTGATTTTTATCGTGATGGCTTTTTTGTAAAAGTGAAGAATTTAGTTAGGAAAATATTAATGATGGAGATGAACGTGTGCGGATTCGTGCATGGTCACGATCACGGTCACGACACTATGACGGGCTCCTACCACGTAGGAGCTCGAATTATGCAAAAATGGGGGGCCAGTTTAGATTAAGTTTAGATTAGGTCTATATTTTTATTAATGCAAAATCAACTAAAACCAAATTCTAATCTAACCTAAACTCACTCCCTCTTTTGCATATTTCGGGCTATTACCTGGGTATCCTTGGAATGTAAATGTTAATTTATACTCGAATTGAGTTGCCTCACAGTATAGGCGTATTTTGAACCCCTACCGTGCATATTTACTGTAGATAAAAATAAATTAAAATATAGTTGGCTTCAACGATAATTTAGTTTGCAGCTTCTTTTCATCATACCTAATAAAAAACCGTCACAACCACTACTCATAGTATGTACCTATGTATTTTTAAACATCATGAGATTTAAGATACATAGGTGCCCATAATATGAGTAGCGGTATTGACGGTTTCATCATATTTTGTTATGAGGAAAATAAGCAGCAAAATATATTATCGATTGCAGCAACTATACCTATAGGGAAATTAAAATAACTTTGGTTGCACATCATAATACGACCACCAGCAAACTCCATAAGACGACGCATGGTGTCATTGATGACGTGCACTCAAAGTTGTTTTAATTTCCCTACACTTAGTTTACAAAGTTTACATTCAGTATGTCCAATTAATACAGAACATTATACCTATGCATATTTTTTAAAATTTGCTACCATTATATTTTGATAGTTGAGTTTTTGAAATTATTTGTTAGCTTCTTAAACAAAACAGACCCATAATAATTCAAATCTTTATCATTCAAAACTTCCAAGAATTATGAAGTAATCTTACGTCAAATTTTTTTAAAATTATTGCATGCCTTAAGTATTTGCAAAGTTAACAAAAATATATCTTTGCATACCTTGCAATAAATATATTTGGTCCAATTTATCAGTTCTATATCATATCCGAAATTCAGATGATGATAATTCCGATTCAAATGATAATTATTATTTACAACAATATTCAAACAATAAAAACTTATCCCAATAAATATTTAGCAACGCCTTGGCTTCATTTGTTTTTACGCCTGTTGGCGGTGGATACCATGCAAGCTTTTTCTTTAAGTCTTTTTTCTTTTGTCCTAAGTTGTTAATTAAACAAATAATAATCATAAAAAATATAAGTCCTAATAGCCTAAATTTTAGATAAATGTATCATGATCCGATGAGACCCAAGTTATTATGTTTTGGAACCTAATGATTTAATTAATTATTCCCTTTAATGCATTTACCTATCTATCCTACGCGCCGAGAAAAAATATTGCATTAGTCTAAATTTATTATTTATGTGAGTCCGCTCTTTCATGTATAATTTGCCGCTTGTTTCGCATACGGAAAGAGTTAAATTAAAATAGTCAAACTGTACCTAACAATCCATATGCCTTGACGCATAATCTTTTTTATAATATTGGCTTTTTTTATCCGCCGGCCCATACTAAACATCCATATCCATAAAATAGTTGGCCCACTGATAAGTCCTCGTTTCGGCCTCGGTCCTCGAACGTCCTTGCAACGCCGGCTAAACTCTTACGTGTTGACAAGTTGATGATTAGGCAGGTTATTGAACTCGGCCGTACCACATCGCATCTAGCATGTCGCTTTTTCAAAGATGGGTCCCATATAAACGCGCCCAGAAGTATTTTCAATACTAATACTCTAATATATCAATATTTTTTTTGTAAAATTTACTTATATTTTTTCAGTGTATGTAAATTTTCAAATATCTATTTTTGTAAACTTGCCGTCATTGCCGTGTTGGTTAAAGGGAAATTAAAACAACTTTCGTTGCACGTCATCAATAACAACGTCGTCTTATGGCGGTTGCTGGTAGTCGTTTTATGATGTGCAACCAAAGTTATTTTAATTTCCCTTTTTATAGTTTGGGTCAAATCTTGCGATCTGAATTAATCACTTCCTGACGTTCGATGAGAATATAACTTTTTTTCAAGATTTTTGAAAAGAAGTTATTTAGTAAAATATATTTTCTACAATTATTATAATTTGACGTACGAGAACAGCTTTTGTAATTTGAGTAATGACTACATTCTAAATAATTTACGTAGTTACTGTCAATATGGGATTTTTGTATGGTGTAGATACACAGAGAGTGTGTGTTATTTTAAATTTTTAGTATATTATCTTTTGGGTTTTATAATAAATATTTGCTCCTGTAGTTAACATTAAAGACCCGACATGCCATAATGATTAAATTTTAATTTATTTTGATATCCGGAATCTACATCAAAGAACAGTTTATTTATTTTACTTTTTATTTCACAGTTACAAATATTTTACCATTTTTTAGCCGTAGTTTAGTTCTTTAATTTTGTGATTTATATATTAGTTACTGCTACAGCAAAACTTCTTTTTCTTATCAGTTAATTATTGATGGTTTAATAATTCTTGTCATTTTCGACAACTGCTGAACTAAACGACACCCTCGGTATTTTTTTAATTCATTCGATAGAAAAAGGCATTCTGGACAGAATGACTATCATATTTCAATTTTTGACATTCTCGCTGAGAAAAAGGTATTTAAATTTCAATCTAGGGTGCCATGGTTGTTTTAAAAACACTAATTTTTAATCAAGGTGTCTTAGAAAAATATATGTGATCGTCTTGTCCTGGCCGGTTAAAAAAAGCTCAAATCCTATTTTTAATCATATCTCAATTTTATAAAATGAAATGAGGGTGACTCATTAGCATATTTGGAAAAAACATTTTTTTTACGAATAATTTGGTACCGCATACTTGGTATTTTGAGTCAAATTGTCATTATGAACACAACATGACACTCTATGAAATGTTAGAAAGTTGATCATTCGGTATATCATCTGATATAAAACCAACTTGTTATACCGGTTGCAATTATTGTCATCTGTAACATTAAGGTAGAACGCTAACAAGCAGGAATATACCTATAATTAAACTCTCGGAACAGAAAATTGCGTGTAATACAGATAGAGAGAGACTATATACTAGACCCATAACATCTATGAAATATGGTACTTGTAGGTAATTACATTTTTTCCAGAATAATTGCTTTAACATATTGGTTGTTCAGTTTTCAACTATATGCGAAGTAAATTTTTTTACGTCTATACGTAGAAATTAAATTATACCCTGCTATTATTAAAAAATAATACACATATTTACTATATGCTTACTAGCGTGTACCCGCGACTTCGTTCGCGTCGAATTAATCATTTGTAATGGTGATGATAAAGCAAAGCAAGAATTTCCATTAACATACAAACTGGATAAAATTTTCTCGCATTTATGTCAGCATGTAAAAAAACAATATGGCGATATTATTATATCACTTGGTAATATTTCAGGGGTAGTTTCATCTCGTTGGAATTTGACTTTCGAAAAATCCGTTTGCCAAAAATAAGCTTTTTACGTCAAGCAGTTTAAGCAGAATCGTGGTTAATCAATTACCCAACTCTTTGGAACACCCTGTAGGATTTTTTAAAAAATTTCAAAATATGTAAAAAACAAAATAAATTATGCATGTTTTAATAAGTTAAGCGTTTTCCCGAAAGACTACCCTTTTTTTAAATAACAAATATTGTAATATTTGAGGGGCGTTTTCACCCTCTTGGAATTTGAGATTCGGGAAACCCCTCCTTATCGAACCTCTACACCCCACGTCAATCCGTTTGCCAAAAATCAACTTTTAACGTCAAGCAGTTTAAGCAGAATCGTGATTACTCAATGGTCATATTTTATGAAACACCCTGTATAAATTTTTAAAAAATCTTAAAATATGTAAAACAACTAAATAAAATATACGTGTTTAAGAGTTTTTCCGAAAAACTCACCGGTTTTTAAATAAAAAATATTCTAATATTTGAGGGGTGGTTTCACCCAATTTTCACCCCCTTAGAATTCGAGTTTCGAAAAATCCCTTCTTATCGAATCTCTACACCCTAAAGTCAAACCGTTTTTCAAAAATCAGCTTTTTACGTCAAGCGCTTTAAGCAGGATCGTGATTAATCATGGACCAGATTTTTCGAAACACCCTGTATACATTTTTAAGAAAATCTTAAAATATGTAAAAAAACAAAATAAAATATACGTGTTTAAGCGTTTTTTCGGAAACTTGGCCGTTTTTTAAATAAAAAATATTGTAATTTTTGAGGGTGGTTTCACCCCCTTGGAACTGGAATTTCGAAAAATCCCTTCTTATCGAACCTGTACACTCTAGAATCAACCTGTATGCCAAAATTGAGCTTCTTACGTTGAGTGGTTTGAGTAGGATCGTGATTAATCAGTGAGTCAGTCACTTAAGGATTTTATATATTAAGTATAGATTACAAAACCCGTAAAATGTACCATTCGATAAAAAAAACGGCGTCAAAGACGGCTGGGGTATGACAGTCGATTATAATTTCGGCGACGTCAAGCCCTACACGTCATTACCCTGTACCTGTGCTCTTCTTCATTTTTTAATGGCGCTTACTGCCAGTTGACCTTAAGAAGGTTGTAATTTATTTTTATACTGAATAAAAATGATTTTCAAATGTTGTAGATTAAAATTCGAGAAAAAATATTTTCTGGGGAATGCTTCATGGATTACTGAAATTAAAAGGATTCATTTATGAGACATTCATAACTTAATTAATTAATTATTTTTTTATTGAATATCATCGTAATCATGCTCAATCGATTTTGTATCGCCACATGAGGGATTGGCACATTCTAAAGGTGCGTATTCATTATCCAAACGAACGAACGAATGAATGTGCGGTATATTTAGACGGGGACCGAACGCATGCGGCCGTTCGTTCGTTCGTTCGCTCGACCATCCGTTTCGAGTCGGTACATCAAAAGCGTTCGCCAACAAATGCCTCCGGTCTTCTCGTGCGGTCCTGTCGTACGGTCCCCGTCCATACCACTAGCGAACATTCGTTCGTTCGTTCGTTCGTGCGGATAATGAATACGCACCTTAAGCTGAAGTGTCTATCTAAATTTCAACGCACATCGACATTAGACTAAATTATATTTACATGCAATGCAAAAAAAATGTTTTTAATCTTGTATTACTAAATTAACGTTCCTACATCAAATAATTTGTTGTTTCAGAAATATTTCGCGACATGATGAACAATTCTAAACTGGAGTTCCATAGCATGTTTCAAAGGACGTATGGGAAAATATACTTGGACAATGCAGAAGTTTTTAGCGACTTCTTCAATGAACTCGAGACTTACTATAGAAAAGGCACTGTGCGGTTGTCTGAGACGATGGATACCTTTTTCGGTATCCTCTACCAGAGGATGTTCACCGTTCTCAATGCTCAGTATCAGTTTGATGATAAGTATTTGGGTAAGTATTATCATGTACCTAAATATTTTATAAATAAGTTCATCTAAAAATTCAGTTTAGCACATTCCATTTGTTTAGTAAAGAAGCGTTCATAAATGACTCCTCTCACATCACGTGAGATATTTCAACATTTTATTTTGAGCATAAATGCATGGGATTTATTTAAAAGACACAATTTGCTTTATTATTTTTATTAAGACTAGTAAAGACTATTATTAAATTTGAGATTATTTCGATCGTAATCTATAATCACAGTGATAACATTAAATAATAGTTAAATAGGAACTACTAAAATTAATAGGGAACATTCATTCTAATTCGGTCCATGGAGACTAGTACACGGTCTAAAGGGTGACTGTTATTGGAACTAACATATCCCTGCGATTTTCAGTAAAATCATATACTCCTTTACTTTCGCTCTGATTAAGCTTAAGCCTCTAAACCGTCATGATTTATTTATTTATTTATTTACAAAGAGGGGATGCTACAGAAAAAATCCCCCCTCGTCTATTTAGAGGCATCGGTTCGAACCGTCGAGGGCGTCATCCTGTAGACTTGTAGACTATCCCAATTATGCCGAAATCGACCCACATTTTTTCTTCAATATCAAATCCTTAGTTCCACCTTGATGAAGATGTAAACCACAAAACACTTACCACACATACGGAAGAAGTGCAAGCGCCCTGTTAAATATTGGAAAGTGAAATTGACACTGTTTAAATTTGACACTGTTGACAAGCCTACTGCTGCTAGCGCCCCCAATATCGCTTGTAGGAATACCAAACAGAAATATAATTTCTCCACAAAAAAATAATAAAATTAAAAGAATAATGTCACAAGTACAGATCAAGAGACAAAATAATTTATATTACAAAATTGAAAAAAAAACGGCGTCATAGATGGCTTACAAATGAAGATATAGGTATATCATAATTTTGTAAGTAAAATTATATGGGAAATGTCATCGATCATCATTTTTAAGCCAACTGGACGATTATTTCAAACCTACAATATTTCAATATCCTAAGTGGAAAGAAAAAAGATCACCTTTGTTTTATATTATGGTCCGTTTCTTTCGATGGCTCATTTTGTTGATCTTTAGGAAAGTATCCATAAAATATATATTTTACTATCGGTCCTGGGATGATTCAGTTTGATTCGATGATCCTTTTCTGTTACCTAAATCAGGAGAATGGCAATGAGCATGTTAAGATGACAAAAAAATGGTACACATTATTTATCAGCACTTACCTACACGTTAGTCCGAGGAGTTTTATCACAAACCTATATTTGCCTAAATAATTATTGTATTAAATTTGCAAAGTGCGGCATATAAACAAAAGAATAAAATGGCGGCAAGTCAACAACCCGACAAGGAGAAACACAGGAGAAAAGTGGTGTTCGAATAACATTTTATCGCTCACCAAAAATTATTTGTCTCCTTTCAACGCACGCTTTAGAAGGAAAAACAGATGATCTTAATTACTGAAAGATCGTCAAGGGTTTATCTCTCACTCTTGTCAATAATTTATCGAATTTTTTTTATAAGAAGATTTCTAGAAAATCACTTGTAGCCAAGTTTTGAACCATTTCCAGTTCTCGTTGTCGCTCACATAGCCTATACACCAAATGTGGTCGCGATCGGACGACATCAACTTTTGACGTTTTTTACGTCAAAACTAACTTCACAGTGACACGTGTCGTACACAGTCAAGTTGGCTTTGGTCCAATCTATCGACATACCAAATCTAATTTAAATCGGACGATTTTTTTTAGCTGTAAGCTATAAGATGATGACTTAATATATAAGTTCAAAATGCGCGCACATTTTTGATATATCATTACTGAATAACTTTACATGTACCTATTCATGGATTTTAATATACAGATGAATTGTGACAGATTTCGACATATTTTTTAGTCTAGAAACATGCTTTACTTTAAATTAATATGATTTTCTCACGTTTTTACACTATTTTTTGGCCAAAAAAATACGTGTTATTTGCCGAAACCCCCTCTCTCCCTCACATGAGATTTTCAGCTTGACTCTGTCCCCCCTTAATTGGTTCATGTAATTAATGGACGCCCCTAGGCTTTAAAGTTTTTTTTCTCTGTGGTAACCATACTTAAAAAATAGATTGAGCTCCGTATTAACTCTTTTATCACCTATTAATAATTTTGTATTATACAGTTGTTGTGCTCTGTAATAAGTGATATTGCATATACGACATGCTAATAAAAAGCTGCCTTATAATAGATTCAGTCATACAGAAAAATCAATAACGTATATAAGAACGGAACGAGAGGAAACAATAGTGAGTACATGGCTGGAAATTCTGACTCGATAGTTTCCGCTTCACAAACTTAAATCATTGATGCAAATGTTGTAAAATATTCCAATACGCTTGCAGGCAGTGGTGTCCTTTCAATTTAAATACGGCTGTGCGTCTGAAGTAAAAGTTCAGATTATTCGATATTTGAATAGAATGGGAAATGGAGAAATAATTTTATTTTATTTGCGATAATTTTTGAATATTGAGGATATTCTGATTACTACAAGTTTTCGTTTTTTTTTATTAGAATTCTTTCTTAGAATTTTTGACAGAATTTATTTTTGTCTCTTCAAAATAGTCTTATGGGTATTTCGCTACTTGTACTGTAAGAAAATCTGTTAAAGGTTAAAAGACCAACTACTACTAAATCTACTCTATTCCCTGTATCCTGTCTCATATGAATGGTGACAAATCTTATGGTGCGTTTAGACTTGAGCACGCACGAGCTGAGCGTGCGCGCACGGCATTCGTTCACGCTCTCGGCTCCGTTCAAATTAAAAACTTATTTTTCGACGAATGAAGTGATCCATTTGTGCGCGCACAGCAGAGTTGTGTTGGCGAAAATAATGGACGACCAAGAAATAGTCGAGGCTGCAGTCATTATTATGCACAGCTTAATTATTAAAAAGGAGAAAAATCGAAAACATCGTCGCTGGTGGCAAACCCAAATTTTTAGAAATCGATATAATTTACTGCAACAACTTAGTGTCTGAGGAAGGCTATGAGGAGTTCAAAAACTTTACAAGAATGACCAGACCCGACTTTGAATATTTACAAAATTTAATAACACCAAATATTACGAACAAAAGATACAAATTTTAGAATAGCAATTTCATTAATATAGACATATTCAATATTAATTTTATTTACAAGATCTTGCCATGCGTTTTTTTTATTTTTTAATAATACAAAGAATGTTTAACATCCTATAATATAGGCAACTTTTCATATTCTTCAATTAATAATAACGAAGATTCATTGAACCACTCCATAATTTTAATAAAGAAAACGAAAAAAAATCACACACGCACGCACGAACGCAGACAAAACAAATTGCTGGTGCAAACTGAGCGTTCGCGCACACATAAAATCTCTTTGAGCACGGACCAAAAACCGACACCAGACGGCTCACGTTCGCGCCTGCTCGCGCACAGACAGATTCAGAGTGAGCGTGCGCGCACAGCCGTTTACACTTGAGCATTCGCGGAGGATCAGTGCGTGCGTGCTCAAGTCTAAACGTACCATTAGATTTGCGCAAATCGCCCTTTCTTAAATAATATTTATGTTCTTTAATTCGAACATTTTAAGTAGATTTCAACAACGCAAAAATTATAATGAAAGAAGCGATAGCCTCTAAACGAAAAATAAAGAGGCTTTATATTTTAATACAGTCTAATGCCGGGTCCAGACCAAGCAGACACAACAACGACAAGACAGAAACACTCATGTTTTACGGCAAAATTGCGACAAATCCAATACATTTCTGCCACATTTTTGTCTCATTTTTGTTTTGTTTTAAAATTCGGAGACTTTCCAATGTCCTGTCTCGAGTCGATAAAGATCAAAGTGTCTATGTTTTGTACGTATATTTTACGACAAGTTGTCGGCGCAGTGTGGATGGCGAGTGCTGCCAACAGTAGGAGACCAGTGAAATCACATATGGTTAATTCTCATTCGCAACAATTAAACTTTTGACTTTGTTATACTTTTGTCCTTGCGGTGTGGACAATTTGTCTCAAGTTTGTCTTGTCAGAATTCCTCATATTTTGTTGCAAGTTTTTCTTGTTTTTGTCCCAAAATCGTGTTTACTTTTTGTCGCCTTGGTCTGAACCCGGCATAATATAAATAAAGGCATTGTTCAAGCATCTGTAGAGGTTAGTAATGTCGGGCTATCGCTTTTTCGATGGAAGAAGAAAAGATGGGGCTCTTCGAGCCTTACATTCTTGAGGCATTACATTCATGACATTATATACATGAGCTCTACATTCCGAGTTTCAGCCCCCTAGCTCACATAGGGCCAGAGTTAAGACGTCCAAAGATCGTTAGGCTTGGCGACCTTGGCGTGACGCTAGCTCGTGTGTCGCGGTCTTGAATTTTTACTTCCATCGCGCGTTCAAGACGTTTCACTTAAAAAAACAAAAGACAGCCAAGCTTAATCAGCTGTAAAATATATAACATCTATGGTTATTGCCCAAATCTTTAAAACAGAAGTAGCAATATTTTCAGCAACAATTAGAGGAAATAATTGAGAATGCTGCTCTAATTTGATAAAGGTTGCTTTTATATTTTATAATTTTTCGCTGGTTCCGGTAAGGAAAAAACGGTAAATATCAATAAACCGGTAATTCCATGTTTTATATTACCCGATAATCGGTAAATTGAAAAGTCGGTAAATTTGCAATCTCTATTATTATAATCTCTATTATGGTAGGTATTTATTAATTTGTTAAATCAAACTCCAGAATTTATTCTGTAAATAACTACCTATACCATATTTGCCTCAACAATTGATCTAAATTAAGCAAGCAAGCACCACTAAATCTTTAATTTGTAAAATTCTATTTTTGGAAAAGCCAATAATATCTCCTGTAGAAATAGCAATGAATAGTGGCTTAACATTTATTTATCTTGATCAAGAGTTGATCAAACATAGATTACCAGACAGGT